GCTTGTGGACAATAGTTCCTACCTTTTAGGTGTAGGACTCTGGTAACAAATCGCCCGTCCCCCCCCCCCACCCCCGCCCCCTTTATTTATAGAAGCATGTGCTTATTAAAATATTGTGACATCTCTGTGATTTGACAATAGAAAATAGCTCATACTCTATGTTATGTTGGGAGGCATCAGCTAATACCAAGACATGCAATGTATCCTAATCCTAACGCAGCCTAACACATTTTTCACCTTGTATAATTAATTTAAAAGCACAAATTATTTATTTTTGAAGACGTAACAAGACATTGCAATTTACTCATAAGTGAAAGGTACTAAGAAACGCTAGCAAAAATAGCAGATTTTTTTCTGTACACTTCTTTCCTTATAGTCATTTATATTTAATTGTATATTACTTGATATCTGTGATACCAGAACACTTTTTCATTTATGTATTACCCTAACAGCAAGCCAGTTTGAGGGTTCATCATCATTGAAAGCTATGAGTTTTAGGGAGTGCCCTTAATTCTGCTGCCTATATCCGTTATATAAATTCAGATGCAAATGTAGCTTCATTTCATGTAACTACAGAAGATTGAAGGCAGTATGCAGTAGAGAAACATTTGGATAATGAAGATGTGACAGATCTTAGAAAAGGGAAAGTATTACACTGCAACCAGGTATATGTTATTTATGATTATTCAACATAATGTTCCTGACAACTTGGCATATCATAGTCACCGTTTTGGCAAAGCCCTTATCCTGCCTGTTGTGTAATTTGCAGGGCAATACTTGTGGATACATGACTGCAGCAAGAAATGTGATAGACTTTTAAGCATACAATGTTATTGTTCCCAGCTCCGCATATGAATTATTTTATATGGCAAACTGTACTCGCGGTATAAATTAAATGTTTCAAGCATAATGTAAGCAACATTAAATCCACAGAAAGTGCTGGATAGTTAATCTTAATCAATAATAATATAATACCTATACTGATCCAGTTATCAAAAAAATTAAAAAAGAAATTGAAAGGGCAGTCAGCATGTAAATTGTCTCTGTGGGCCAAATTCTGCTGTCATGAATCCCCATGCAACATCAACAAAATCAATGGTGTTCCAGAGAAGTAACTGAGTGACAAATTTGTTTTCTCTTTAGCCATTTCTACATTTCAAAATGCAAAGAAAGCATGCTTCATTATATAGTGTTTCTCTTCCAAATGACATATTCATAGATTCCAAACCCAGAAGGAGCCACTATGATCACCTAGTCTGACCTCCTATATAACACAAGCAATAGAAGGTCTCCAAAATAATTCCTATAGCATATCTTTTAGAAAAAACACCCAATCTTGATTTTAAAATTGCCATGGAGAATCCACCATGACCCTTGGTAATATGTTCTAATGGTCAATTACTCTCACCATTAAAAATTTACACCTTATTCCAGTTTGAATGAGTCTTATCTTCAACTTCTGGCAATTGGATTGTGTTATACCTTTCACTGCTAGATTGAAGAGCCCATTATTAAATATTGGTTCCCCATACACGTACTTATAGATGCATAGGTGCTGGAACTAGGGATGCTGGGGGTGCTGCAGCACCACCTGGCTTGAAGTGGTTTCCATTACATACAGAGTTTACAGTTTGGCTCAATGGTTCTCAGTACCCCCACTATAAAAATTGTTCCAGGGCCCCTGTATAGACTGTAATCAAGTCACCCTTTAACCCTCTCTTTGTTAAGCTAGACAGATTGAGCTCCTTGAGTCTATCACTATAAGGCATGTTTTCTAATGCCTTAATCATTCTCATTATTTTTCTCTGAACCCTCTCCAATTTATCAACATCCTTTTGAATTATGGGCACCAGAATTGGACAAAGTATTCCAGCACCAGTTGCAGCAGTGCCAAATACAGAGGGGAAATAACCTCTCAATTCCTACTCAAGATTCCCCTGTGTATGCATCCCAGGATCACATTAGCTCTTCTGGTCACTGTGTCACACTGGAAGCTCATGTTCAACTGATTATCCACTATAACCACCATGTCTTTTTCAAAGTCACTGCTTCCCAGGATAGAGTTCCCCATCCTTATATATGGCCTGCATTCTGTGTTCCCAGTTGCATATGTTTACATTTAGCCGTATTACAATGCATACTGTTTGCTTGTGCCCAGTTTAACACATGATCTAGATCATTCTGAAAAAGAGACCTGTTCTCTTCATTATTTATCATTCCCTCAGTTTTTGTGTCATCTGCAAACTTTATCAATGATGAAGTTATGTTTTCTTCTAGGTCATTGATAAAGATGTTATATAGCATAGAGCCAAGAAGCAATCTCTGTGGGACCTCACTGGAAACAGACACACTCATTACAGTTCCTTTTTGAAAACTATCAGTTAGCTAGTTTTTAATACATTTAATGAGTCCCATGTTAATTTTATATTATAGGTTTTTTTATCAAATGTTTTGTGGTACCAAGTCAAACACTTTACAGAAGTTTATGTATTTTATATCAACACTATTACCTTTGTCAACCAAACTTGTAATCTCACACAAAAAAAAAGATATCCAGTTAGACAGGATCTATTTTCCATAAATTCATGATAATTTGTATTAATTACTTCACCCTCCTTTAGTTCTTCATTAATCAAAACCCTTAACAGCCACTCCATTAGCTTTCCAGAGATCGATGTCAGGATGACATGCCTATAATTACCCAGGTCATCCTGTTTACCCTTTCTAAAAATTGGCCCAACATCAGCTTTCTTCTAGTCTTCTGGAACTTTCCTGGTGCTACAAGACTTATTGAAATATTAACAGACCAGTGAGCTCCTGAGTCAGCTCTTTTTAAATTCTTGGATGCATGTTATCTGGATCTGCTGATTTTAAAATGTCTAACTTAGTAGCTTCTGTTAAATATCCTCCAGAGATACTAGTGGAATGGAAAAAGTGTTTCTCCCCAAAATACAGAAGAGAAATATTTATTGAACAATTGTATCATTACTGATAATTCTAGCATTTCCATCTAGTAATCGAACGGTACCATTGTCAGGATTATTTTTATTCCTAATACATTGAAAAAATTCCTGATTGTTTTTAACTCTGCTGGCCATAGATTTCCCCTCATGTCCCTTGGCTTCCCCCTTACCAATTTTCTTCAGTTCCTAACTTCTGATTTATATTCTTTACTATCAACTTCCCCTTTCTTCCATTTGTTATATTTTGTTTGTTTTATTTTTTATAGTTGTCTTCATTTCCCATTAAACCATGTAGGTTTTGTTTTTGTTTTTTTAGCCAGGGCATTCTTCTTCAGTTGTGAGATTGTGACTTTTGAGGCATCTAGTTAGGTGATCTTAAATGATTCCCAATTATCATCATATTTTTCTGATTATATTCTTTCTCCCAGCTGATTTGGTTCATAAATGGTTTTTTTTTCAGTTTTTGAGACTGGCTCTATTAAAGCATGTATAGTCTATATATATTGCTGGTCTGAACTTAATTCTTCTTGCACTTTTTAAATGTCATCAAGTCATGATCACTTGTACTTAAGTTACCATTAACTTTTAGTTCTGTGATCAGTTCCTCTGTATCTGTTAGGTAAAGGTCTAATATATAATTTCCCCATATTGGCTGAGTTAGGACATTGTCATCTATAATGTTTAGAAATTTCAATGATGCCTTATGCTAGATTTCTCATGCTGCCTGTACTATGTCACTCAAATTGAAGTCCCCTATGATCAATTTTTTTTCCCCTACGCATTATTACTCAGTGCATGAGGAGATGGTCATCCTGTTCCATAGTGTGAATTAATAGTCTGTAGCAGACACCAGCTCATGTCCCATATTGTGCTTTATCTGTTAGGACATTGATCACCAGAAATGGTGAGTTTCAACACTGTTAAAAACCCAGCCCTTACATATTACCATCTCTTGATAAGGATTTACCAACCACAGTTAACGGTTTATTCTCCATTTGGTATGGATATATTCCATTAATGCTAATAGGAATTCTATTCATGCATCCAAAAAAGGCTCCTTTTATAGCAAGTATATTTAGAATCCCACTATAATGTAGACAACATTTTTTATTACAAATATAAAATATCTATTACACAAGCCTATAAAAATATTGGGCTGTATAATAGAATGGCCTGGCTTTATATCAACACACATAATAAGAGATACTTTTAACGTGAAAGGCCTGAACTGTTACAAAGATGAGCCAAATCCTGTAGTTCGTATTCAGTCAACATTCCTATGGGCTTTGATGGAAGTTTTGAATGAGTATGTTCTGAGTAATTAGTGAGTTTATTGGTAATGGTTGTATTTCTACTGCAATAGTGCACAAATACCCAAATCAGGGGTCCATCAATCCTCATCAGAACAAATGGTCCATTCCATGAAGGGTTTACAGGGTAAAGTGACAAGCAACATAGGAAATGTGAGTGAGAAGGCTGTGGACAAAATGTGTACAGTGTTTAATATAATGTATATACATTAAAATGTCACTTCAACTATGGCCAACTGCCCTTCAACCTAACATTAATTAGTTGGCTAATTATTTGTAGGCACCAGAGAAGAAGGGAGTGAAGGTTTTAACATGCATGATTATCATATATTGCTGATTAATGTGGTTGTTGCTGATTTAGGGCCAGACTGTGCCTGTGTCGGACTGCACTGCCCCAGTGGGAGTTCAAGATAGATTCTGTCTGAGAGGCAAAATCCCTCTGGAGATCATGTGAGATGTGTACACTGCAGTATTTGTTAAAAATGAACAATGGTCATATCTCCTTAAATCTCTGGGGTACTGGAAGGGAGGTCCTGTGCCCTGCTACCAGGTCCCGCACTGTCTGACCCATAATTGTGTGAAAACTTTAATCTCCAAATGGAAGATAGTTAATTCCAGTACTATAGAGTCTAACCCTGAAGGCTTGACACAGAGAGCATACCCAATAAAATCAATAGAGTTATTGCCATAGGAAGAACTGCATCCCAGCTCTTATCAGGTCAGATGCCCTCTCAGCAGCATCAATGTCTGTTCTCTGCCAGCTTTAACTAATTTCTGAAATCACCCATTTAAATAGCTACATATTCAGCTGAACGGAAATGCCATTCCAGGGCAAACTTTCAGCATTTATTCCTCATTTAGAATTCTGGGACTGGATCAACCTCTCCAGGGATCAACCCCTCAGGAGGGGCTAATTGGGGGTGGGACTCTGTGCCAGGTGAGAATAACCTTGAGGAGTTGCCCCATTTTCAGAGTGGAAGAGGGCATAGTGAGCTTTTCTCCTGTTGAATAAGCCAGAGGGTGCACCCATCAATTTAATGGATCACCAGATGGCCAGGGCCATCCAAAGGAAATCCATGTACTTCTGTCAGCCCTGGATCCCCTCCATCTTGTCCTGTCACTCATGGTTCCAATGGAACTGTGGTAACAGGGCTTCCCCAGCACCATCAAAAGAGGAGGAGAGGGAGAGGGATCTTGCCACCAAGAGGAGACTCCAAAGCAAAGCTAGTACAGTTCCAGGCAGGAAAATCTGGGAGGAGGGGGCGATTTGCATGGCACTGGTACAGGAACCTCCAGTCTTCACCACTAGCCAAATTGTGCCTAAACCACTGCCCACCTTTGGCATGCTCAGTTCCCCACCTGCTTCCTCCCCCCCCCCCCGGCAGATCCTAGCCCCATGGAGAACCTTCTGCAGGGTCTTGGGAAGTAGGTCTGGGGTGAGGTGAAAAGGGGAGCAGTGCTCAGGAGGATACGGATCCACCTTTCCTTGCAGGATGAGGAATATTTGGGGCAAGCATGCCCTGGCACTTGATTTTGCTTTTGTTGAGGAAATCTGTACCAATGCAGCTTAATGAACCCATTGGGGCTATGTTGTTTCTGTGATAATGTGTACTGCGCTAGGAAAGGTTTCAGAGTAGCAGCCGTGTTAGTCTGTATCCGCAAAAAGAACAGGAGTACTTGTGGCACCTTAGAGACTAACAAATTGCATCTCTTTCTGAGTCTGTCTCTCATCTTGTAGTAAACAGCTTCAGAGCGGGTGGGAGGAACAGAGAAACTAAAGTAAGCTCCATGACTGTGATTAGTTGGTTGCCCACAGGCTTTTGGGTGCATGTTAAATTAATGCCAAACGTAAAGTAGGAATGCTCTCTATTTTTTTTTCAAATACTTACACTTATCTTTGTTCCGTCATTGTCCAAGTCTCTCTCTGGTAAGAGCTCCACCTATTGGGAAAGGATAACATTTGTGAGGAGCTGTTGCCGTGCAGTGCTGGGCTACTGGCCCTTGTGCAAAATAACCACTGAAGCGCAGCAGATTATTTCAGCCAGCCTTTCTCCGAGAACACTTGCATGCTAAGTGTGCCACCTATAGGCAGAACCTCATTGGGAGAGTTGAACAGACTGAATTTAGCTTCAGTTCTATACAAGTGCTATTGCGGCAACCAGCATTATAGGATTGTGGCACACTGAAAACACTGTATTGAAAACAAGAACAGATGCGTAGTGTCTTCTTGTAAGACTAAACTGTCATTCTCCATCCTATTACGATCAGGCTTCAGGAAGAATCCTCAGTATAAAACTCGTGTGGACGGCTTAGGAGGATTAAAATGTTAGAGAGAATGATTCCCCCCCCCCCAATCCTATCTCAGGGAAAATGTTCAAGGTAAAGGGAGAGTTCCTTCTCCCTTTTCTTTGCATAAGTAAGGGGTGAGCCCAGTGGATGCTTGTGTGGTTGTCCTGAAATCCTAAACTGATTCCTATTAGAAAGATATTTAATCTTTTCAGTGTAACTATCAATCAGAAACAAAGCAAGGGGGAAAAACCGAGGTTCTGTACAGTAAAGAGTCCTCGACACTAGACTTTGAAGGCTACAAGAGTGTTTTTGTTGTTTGTTGTTTGGAAGCTGTGAATCCCCAAAAACAGCTTCCCACACACACACACACCCATGCCTGCTGAATGAGATTTACAGATTCCAGTGCCCCAATGGCTAATAAGAGATTGTTGTAGTATCTTGACACTTGGGAAATACACTCCTGCAAGCAGCAACTCTATTAACATAGGATTTGTTTGACGAGAGAATCAGACTTGAGAAATCCATGTCGCTTTCCTAAGATGTGAAGCTGAGCTAGGGGAGTGGCAGGCATCCCCTGGGGTGGGCATTTCTCCCTGCAGCCTGCTGTGCTACAGTTCATGGGTAGCCTTAAGCCTTCAGCGAAATCCACTACCCCCTCCCCCCTTTTTTTTGGCGTGCTTGGGTGGATTGGCCTCTTGGAGGGGAGGGGGAAGCCCAGTGGAGGCGCATCGGTACCTGAGTGCCTGTCACTTCGCCTCCAGCCTCCTGCTCCTCGGCTGCTCGCAGAAACCACCACTGGATCTCGAGGTACACCGAGGCAGAGCCGCTCTGGAAAGCGCACGACATCTCCACGTTCTGCCCTTCAGTGGCTGTGACATTTCGGGGGAACTCGGTGAATTTTGCTGCAAAACAAATGCAAACAGCTTATTGGGATCTCCCTCTCCTTCTTCTCTCCCCTTCCCCCCTCCATTTTCGTCTTTTTTTTTCTTGTTCTCTTTCTCTCTACCTTTTCCCCTCCCTGTTTCCTTGTCCTTTTCTCACTGCCTCCTTTTACATTTCCCCATTTCTATCGCTCCCATTTCTCTGTTCCTCATCTTTTCTCACTCCCTTTCCCCATCCCTATTCTCCTTCTCTTGCCCCCATCCCCCGCCCCCCGCTTTGTCTCACACATTTATATATTTTCGCCAATCCGCACAACTCCCGCTCTTGTGCTCAAGTCCCGCTAATGGGAAAGCTAAGTACCCCCTCTGATCGCTCCCCTGGGTTAAGAAAGTTACATATAATTAGATCCAAATATCCTTGGGTGGAATGCAGTATTTCACCAAACACACTGAGGGATTTCAGTGAAAGGCAATTTGGAAAATCAGCACCGCTCATGCATTGCATTTCCTAGGTGAGTGCATGTGAATGATTAAACTCTACATGGTTAACTGAAATAGATATTTAGAATGTGTAATGTGCTAAGAGGTGCGTTATGATCACTCATCAAAATGCACGTTTCAAACACATTAACTGAGTCACGTATTTCTTTTATGATAATGTATGCTCTCACAGTGAAACGAATAAACAGTGTTTCTTATCATTCTTCATCCTAGCAGACCCACTTTCCAAAACGAACAAACACCTCCTCTTTAAATATGACTACTCCCATCTTACCACACCATTCTACGGTTGAGCAAAATTCCTACAAATGCACACAGTGCAAGACACCAATGCTTCTTAAAAGTCACCATCGAGCCTCCCTATATGTTCCTTAGGCTCGTGTGTAGCTCATTTAAAAATCGAGCAAACTTGATGATAAATCTTGTAGACCCCATCCTGGCCAGTGAAAGAAAAAAAATAAACCTCCTGGTTCAAAACTAAGAAACACTGGACAGGAACAGACCCATTGCTCAAAGAATTCAACAGCCAGTTATCCATTCCCAGCTGTGTGTTGTTATAGGCTGACAAAGCTTAGGAGGGAATGTTTGCAGTGTGCCCCTTTCTCCCTAATGCGTCCAAGCTCGTTATTTGAAGTTTATTTGTGGGGTGATTTGGGTATATACCGAACCCCCTTTTGCTTTCTAAACACTTGTACTATGAGACAGAGGCATAAAAAAGCTGCTATTTCTTTTATTTTACAGTGCCTCCTCCCCCCACCACGCGACATTCTTTTTAGTCAACGCTAGCTATTCAGCTAGTTAACGGGCAAAGTGACTCTTCACTCTGCATGCTCACGGATTGAAAGAAGTTTTCCTCCCTGGTCAGTGTTAAAAAAAAATATCAAGACAGGAGTTGTGTTTGCAGAAATGATGCAGCGTTCAGCGGGCAGCCTGAGACGCTCTGTCCATGGTGCTGAAATGATCACTGCAGCCCTCAAAGTCCCAAACAACTGGATTCTGCAGACCTGGGGCTGCTTGGAATGCAAGACGCCCTTTTTAGTGGGGTCTTCAAAGAAGTCGATCTTTTTTTGAGATCTATACATAATCACTAAAGGGAAACAAAGGGCTGAGACTGAGGATCACGGAAAAGAGTGGAAAAGGAGCCAGATCCTATATAGATTGCAATATTTAATGAAGGCACACGATTTAGCCATCTTATATTATGTGTGCATGTAATAATTATGTATGCATGGGTGGGTATTCGCTGTAAACATACATATATACCCAACCCAAACACGCGTATGTATGCATTCATTACAAATATACACTCAGCATTTTCGTCCGTCCAATGTATTTCTCATTTTCCCTCCTTGCAATCTAGTATGAGCAGTCCGTTTAGGGGTAAACTTCTCCCCTCTTTTGCTGTTTGTAATTTCTAAGGCTTGGAATCTATATTCTCTTATGCATCTTTTTGGGAGCCCTGCTTCGGATTTTAGGGAGTACACACACGCACACACATTTGACAAAGAGCGATCTTACCTTGGGTAGAAAGTCCTTGTTGAATATACAAAACGGAAAAGAAAATGCATCCAACATAAGCCAGAAAGATCCCCATCATTCCAAAGCGAAGCAAAAGTCACATCAGGGTAACAAAAACCAAAGGTGCCCTCAAAGAAAGGAATCACACACACACACAAATTTACAGAAAGGCTCTGCGCTGTAGCCCTGGCTGCGACACTGCGAGCATTCTGCTACTCAGTGGAATCTTTTCTTTGGGAAGAGAGGGTATTGCAATACACTGAGGGTTCAGATGAGCTGGCTCGGGCGCTGTGATGCTTGAAGTCCAGACCCAGACTAAAAAAAAGAAACGTTGAAAAGTGGGTATCAGCTGCCTTCTCTGCCTTTTTTCAGCTACCTGGCAGCTCCGTCCAACGTCAGCTCCAGCTGCTCAGGATTGCGTGATGATGACTGCCCTCCCTAAACGCTGATCCGGCTTAGGAAGTGGGGAGTGGGGGGAAAGGGAGGGGAGGAAGGGAGAGGAGTCTACTGTGCTTGCATTGCTTCAACTTTTCCCTCTAATGGCTGCGATGATGCCTTTAACCCTTCACGCCTTCTGGGTTCTCCATACCTCTCCACCTGCTGTTACTTGGGCTGGGTAACATGCTGGAGGAAAGCCGACTTTTGCTTATGACTGTGGAACCTAGGAGCCTTTATTGTACTGATACAATCTCCAGTCTGGCATCTCACATCGGTCAGAGACTAAGAGGGCAATGGAGTGGTTTGTTTTTGGTTGGGTCGTCTCTCTCTCTCTCTCTCTCTCTCTCTCTAATGTAGGAGAAAACAGTTAAATATTAGTTAATATTATGAGTATGCTGTTGAACTTCTTGTTCACTGTCCCAAATAACTATGATCACCTAATCTTTTTCATTCAAAATGTTGTTGATCAGCTTTTTTTTCCAAAATAGATTAACAAGATTTAAAAATAATCAGTTGCTCATAGGATACATGTATTTATATATGTTGTTAGGATATATATGGGGAAATACCTATACTCACTTATACATGTGTATGTGTGATTTGCCCAGAAAAAAAATCAGTCTTTGACACTTTGATATTCTATTGATGTGTCATAACAAAATTTATATAACTATAGTACAGAGAGATTTTTAACTACATAAAGAATTTTTCCTTCCAGACTGTATTCATTGCACATTCCTTGTATCGACCGGGATTCATAAGACTATGATACCATATTGCAGGCAAGAGGCAACCCTTGACTATAATAGGTGTTCAAAGAGTCTTAAAAAGACCCCTCTGTCCAAAATATCCTGCTGCCTATAGGAAAGGGCCATCCAGAAAGTATTCCTGGCACTAAGGAAACAATAAATACCTTTCCATGGATATCAAAGACTACGAAAAAATCAGGGCATGAAGTGGATATATGACAAGTAGTCAGACTGTCAGATCGTTTATATCATTCATAGATATAAGCTAAAAACTAAACATTTAGAGCCATTTAGGAAAGAACTGTAGCCATAAAATTACATTATATCCATATGGACAAACTGTTTTCCCATTGAGTGAAACGTTGGGGGGGTCTGTCATTTAAAACAATGGAAATGCAGCAGTTCCACAATGGTTAAGGAGCAACTTTTGCTTTACTCACTGCACCAATCTCTCTCAGATAAAGTGATTATATCTACATCAGACATTTGACATAAGAAAAATAACTATTTAGAACTTGAACATGGGATTGAAGTGTCTCCAGCTTTAAAAGTGATTTCACCTCACCATTTATTTATTTTACAAATGTCAGACTTCCCCTCGATATTTATATAGCAGAAGGAGATATTTCCCCATGATAATGGTCTGTTCCACTGATGTCACCTTTTAAGTATAGCGATGGTTTTTAATAAAAAAAGAGTACAGTATAAATACTCAAAAAATGACTGCAGATACAGCAAAAGTACTTAATTTGGAAGGGCTTATTCTGCTATAGAGGTTGTTCTTATGGAGGTCATGATAAATGTATCGAAAACCAGAGAAAAGTCTACAAAAAGAAGGAAGAGAAAAACAAATCCTTAAACATGATAAGACTGAATTTTCAAAAGGAACTAGTGATTTTGACATCTCAGTTATTAGGTACCCAACATGAAACACCTGATTTTTCAATGGTGGGATCTCAGCATTTTCTGAAAAGTCAGGCACCTTTCAGGTGTCTCAAGCTGAGCAGCCAAAATCCCTACTCACCTTTGAAAATATAGGCCGACTGATTATATGCTTCAGTTTAACTACATACGTGTCATCAGTAATCAATGTAAATGACAAATTACACATACATTATCAGCAGTCAAACTGAATGCAAACTAGATTGAAAAAAGATTTTATGCAGCATCACCTGGTTTGGAGGGAAAGAGGGAACCATAAATAGAGCAATCTTTTTCCAATCCAGACAAAATTTAATTTTTGCAATTTGCAATTCCAGGTGAAAGCAAATAGATTTCTCAGAAAGGTCTTATAATCAGCTGAAGTAACTAAAACTTGTGCTACCATGATAGCAAGGGAATTCTTTACTGAATATACAAAATAACATCTATCCTTATTAATTTTAGAAAGCTAAAATAGTGAAAAGAATCCTAAAACTTGGACTATGGTCAGTATATTGCTTTATTCACACAATGTAATAGTGTTATATAATGTTATCAAACGTTGCTAGTAGAAATGATTAGCTTTAAGCCGTTTCACATAGGAAAAAGAAATTCCTCTTCTGCCTGTCTGAGTAAAATGCACTCTGATGCAGAGACCTTGCCCAGAGTCAACTGCATCATGTACATCCCACATTGGGGCTATAGGGAAGTACTTGGACCAGATATGCTGGGAATCTCTGCATTCCTCTTGTGCTGCAGAAAGGGTTTTTATGCTGACCCCTATATGGTGTGAAGGTCACTGATGGTGGCTTGTGGGAGGAGTTATTAAATTGATGTTTTTGCCACTAGAGTGGCTCTAAGACATGCGTAACTGGCAAGGAGGGGCTGTGGACACTCAATGCATAAGCTGGAGCATCTGCACACAATAAGGGAGAATTTCAAAAGTGCTTAAGGATTTAACAGCAGAAATTCTATTGATCTGGCTCTGAATATTGCAACTTCAGCCTATTTTTAATGGTCATTCATTATAATTATTGTTTAATATGTATATCACTGTAGCACCCATTCAGGATCAGTGTGTCCTTGTACACTGTTCAAACACATAGGAAGATGGGTTCTCTAACCCAAGCAGCTTACAAGCTCAAGAAATGTATACCTCTACTGACTGGTCTGAGTGACTTCAAGGTTCATATTGATTATGAATTTTCTAGGTGAATTATTGATCCCATTCACAGTATGTCTTTATCTAGATCTATTGTTGGAGAAAATTTGTCAGCTCCTTAAGAAGGGAAGGATGCCAGCATCTGTTAAAGAAACTGTCATTAGGTTCCTTCTCAAGAAACCATTTCTTGATGTGGAAAATCTTACTTATTGATTTGTCTCAGATTTCTCATTTTTGAGGAAGGTTATCAAGAAAATTGTGGGAAAACCAATTTTAATAACACCTAGTTTTCTTTGATCCCAGCTGTGACACTGGAAGACCAGGTGCCAGTTCATGCCAAGGCCCCAGGCCCTACTGAACATTGACAAATGCATAGCTGGAAACCAATCTGGCTCACCCTAATGACCGTATCCCATACTTATATTACTATAAGTTAATATTTATATGTTTGCCCTGTAATTATAAAGAAAAAATTGCTAAGGGCTTGTCTACACTTACAACACTGCAGTAAAGCATCTGCACCAGTAGTAGTGCTTAGTGAAGATGCTACCTATGCCCTTGGGAGAGCTTCTTCTATTGCCATAGGTACTCCACCTCCCCCAGAGATGGTAGCTATATCTAGCTATATCACTGGGAGAAGCTATCCCATTGACATACCACTGTCTACACGGGGCGGGGAGGGGAAGGGTTAGGTCAGTATAACTACATTGCCCAGGGGTGTGGATCTCCCACACCCCTGAGTGACGTAATTATACCAACGTAAGTTTGTAATGTAGACCAAGCCTAAGGGTATGTCTACACTACGAAATTAGGTCGATTTTATAGAATTCAATCTTTAGAAAGCGATTTTAAACAGACGATCATGTAGGTCTCCACTAAGCGCAGTAGGTTGGCGGAGTGCGTCCTCAATACCGTGGCTAGCATCGACTCACGGAGTGGTGCACTGTGGGTAGCTATCCCACAGTCCCCTCTGCTTGCTGGAATTCTGGGTTAAGCTCCCAGTGCCTAATGGGGCAAAAACATTGTTGTGGGTGGTTTTGGGTACATGTCATCAGTCTCCCCTCCCTCCCTCACTCCCTCCTTGAAAGCAATGGCAAACAATCCTTTCACACCTTTTTTCCTGGGTTATCCATGCAGATGCCATCGCATGGCAAGCATGGAGCCTGCTCAGCTCAGCTGTTGTGAGCATTGTAAACGCCTTGCTCATTATCCTGCAGTATGTGCAGAGCCTGGCTAGGAGCCACAAGCATGAGGACGATTGTGGGGAGGACATGGACATAGATGTCCTTGAAAGCACAGGATGTGGCAATTGGGACATCATGGCAGTAGGGGGCAGATTAATACAGTGGAACACCGATTCTTGGCCCGGCAAACAAGCACAGACTGGTGGGACCGCATAGTGTTGCAGATATGGGATCATTCCCAGTGTCTGCGAAACTTTTGCATGCGTAAGGCCACTTTCATGGAACTTTGTGACTTGCTTTCCCCTGCCCTAAAGTGGAAGAATACCAAGATCAGAGCAGCCCTCACAGTTGAGAAGCAAGTGGCGATAGCCCTCTGGAAGCTTGCAACACCAGACAGCTACTGGTCAGTCGGGAATCAATTTGGAGTGAGTAAATGTACTGTGGGGGCTGCTGTGATCCAAATAGCCAATGCAATCACTGAGCTGCTGCTATCAAGAGTAATGACTTTGGGAATGGGCAGGTCATAGTGGATGCCTTTGCTGCAATGAGGTTTCCTAACTGTGGTGGGGCGATAGAACGCATATCCCTATCTTGGCACCGGACCACCTTGCCAATCAGTACATAAACTGCAAGGAGTACTTCTCAATGGTGCTGCAAGTACTGGTGGATCACAAGGACACCGACATCAATGTGGGATGGTCGGGAAAGGTGCATGACACTCGCATCTTTAGGAACTCTGGGCTGTTCGAAAAGCTGCAAGAAGGGACTTTCTTCCCAGACCAGAAAATTACCATTGAGGATGTTGAAATGCCAATAGTTATTCTTGGAGACCCAGCCTACCCTTTGCTCCCATGGCTCATAAAGCTGTACACAGGCAGCCTGGACAGTAGTGAGGAGCAGTTCAACTATAGGCTGAGCAAGTGGGGTGGCAAGTGCAGAATGGTGGTACAATGTGCCTTTGGATGTTTAAAAGCTCGCTGGT